ATGTCGCCAGCCCACTGCGGGGAGTGGGACTTTTCGTGCCTGGCTTCTTCTCCTGAGCATCAAGTGTTCGGGGACCGTCCCTGTTGAAGCCCGGATCGGCGCTTGGTTCCTCTCGAACCTACAGTCTAGTAGAGCGTGGCTGGCTTTTCTGTCCGTCGGCTGGCGAACATCCCGGCGGCCCGTGTCCTGGTCACAGTGCTGTCACGCGTGGGGGTCCCCGTTCTCAATTCGTCTGGGCAGGGGCCGAACAGCGGAATTACAGGGTGACGTGGCGATGACGCTTCACGTTTTGAGGCAGCTCCAAACCGTGTTCCATGGCGGCCGCGTCCCTGTCCATTCCCACCAGCGACGCCCGGAGGGCCTGGATCCGCCAGAGCCGCCAGGACTCTTACTTTCCGTTCTGTTTTTCCTCCGTTGCAGCGTCCCGGTGGGCGTGAAGCAGCACCTCACTGCGGTTTTGATTTGCATTTCCCCGATGACTGACACTGAGCATCTTTTCGTGGGCCTTTTTCATGGGCCACGGGTGCATCTTCTTTAGAGACATGTCTCCTCAAACCCTCTGCCCACTTCGAAATTGGGTTGTTTCTTTTTGTTGTTTCTGTCTACTTCGTAGTTTTAAATTCTCCATAGTAAAAATAGATGGAAAAAACTGGATATTTTAATGAAAACTTTACAAAACACACCGTTTTTTGCAGGGGAGAGGGGATATTCTTCCCACCTTTTCCCACTTGAATTCCCCAGAGACCCTTGCACACTTCCTACCCCCACGTGCCGTCCGCTCTGCAGCTCCCCAAAGCCCCTTCCTTCTTCCGGCAAATCAGTGATCACAGGTGTCTCCCCTCCCCGCTCAGTGGTGGGCGGAGGGTGGGGGAGCAGGCCTGGGACCAAGGCAGAGCAGAGGCCAGCGTCCCCAGCTCGGGGGCCGCAGCCCGAGGCTGACACCCCTGCCCAGCCTCCCGGAGACTCATCCCCGATGTCCCTCCTCGGTGTCTTTGCTAAGATTCCTCCAGGAAGGGAGGGGCTCGTCTATAGCGGAAGGAACCCCTGGGCCCAAATCCAGCCACATCACAAGACTGGATGGCCGGCGAGACGAGCGTGTCGGTGGCTTCCTCAGCCAATGGGAGCGGCTTCGCCGGGCTCATGTTCTGCTGCGGCAGCCGGGCCAAACAGATGGCCCGGGATAAACAGGGGGTGGTGGCTCCCAGTGGCCTCGGCCTCCCTCTGGGCCCTGGAGACGGAGGCGGGCAAGGTGCAGCCCGTGCGCGGAAGGGGCCGCAGCGGGCGCCTCCGGGACACGTCTGTGCTGTGGTTTAGCCATGGGAGTTGTGTTCAAACAAACCCTTGCAACACATACGACAGAGGAGAAGGAAGCCGCCCCAGCCAAGGGGGTGAGACACCCGGAGCCCCCCGCCCCTGTGCCACGTGGCAGGAGAACACGCCGATCCGGTTAACACATAGTATTTATAGGAAACCGCTCAGGAGCTCAACACGCCCTGTCTCAGTGCGCCTGGCGGTGGGGTCCGCGGCCTCAGGAGGGCTGGCTGCACGGCAAGCTCCAACCTGAGACACTGGCCCTCCTCCCCGGCTCTGGCGGCCTCTTGCTTACCCCTCACCAGCCAACCCTGGGGACAGGGCCAGAGCTGGGGCGCGGGGCCAGGGCCAGGGTGGCAGTGGGGCCTGGGAGGGACAGGCGCTGCAGGGGCTGGTCCCCGGCTAGCCCGGGTGCCCTGCCCGCTGGGGGGCCTGAAACTCAATCTGGTCTCCTCCGCCACCTTTCTTCCTCCCCCGCCCTCTTCCTTCAGAACTGCCTGGCCCCAGCGGGCGCACAGCTGCGGTCCCCGGCCCCGCCCTCTGCCCTCTTCTAAGGGAGATGTGAGAAAAGCGGGCCCTGCCCCCACCCCAGACTCTTTGATATGGAATTTCCTCAAACCCAGACTGTGGTCCTCGGCCCTGTTAACCTGCGGGCCCTCCTGCCCCAAGAGCGCGGTGGGTGCGTTCTTTAGCTGGAGGAAGGCCCCTCTTGGACAGGGCAGGTGTGTGGGGCCCTTTGCAGAGAGGCAAATAAAGGAAGAGCCGGGCAGCAGCGAATCTCCCTCTGAGCTTCCGCTGCCCCCCCACGCAGCACGGGGCTGGTCGGAGGGCCAACTGAGGCGACGCACCGCTGCTCCCCGCAGAAGCAAGGGCACGGCCCCTCCTGTCCACCTGTATCACCGCGGAGGCGGCGGTTCCCTCTCTGAGTCCAGCTTTCTGACCTGGAGAGTGGGCCCATGAATACTCGCCTGGCACAGGTGCCAGGAGAAGCAGAGCTGAAGCCCATGAGGCACGTAAGAGCCTGGCACAGGAAGAGCATCCACAGGAGGGCAGGAACCGTTGCAGTCATTACTGCTTTTACTATTATTATTATTATTATTACCATGGCTATTATTTAATGACAAGGGCAACATGGCTTTGTAGTTAAGCATAGAGGCCCTGGAGTCAAATGACCTAGGTTTAAAGTCCAGTTCGTTGTTGGAGCTGTGTGACCTTATGCAACTTACTTAACCTCTCTGTGCCTACATTTTAAGCATATGTGGGGAACATTAATTCCATCTACCTCCTGCAGTCACTATGTGTGCAGCACTTTGAAGGGTGCCTGGTCAATAAATGGTAAGGGATACCATCGTGTTTGCTGTTAGTAGCATCAGTATTATTATTATTATTATTATTATTAACAAGAACCATGGATCCCGTTAAGGAGCGACAATCCATCATATTCACCGTCCCACTAATGGTTCTGTCAATCAAAAACTGTGTGACCTTGGGCAAATTACCTCCCCTCCCCGAGCCTGCTTTCATTTATCTCCAAGATGTGAATTACAGTTGGGCTCTCACGGTGCTTCCAAGTGGTCAGGCTTCAGCGACGAGCGGCGGCCGTGGGAAGCTTCTGGTTCACCAGGCCCCAGCCCCACGCCCTGCCGCAGCCCAGCCGCCCACCCCGCCCCTGCTGGCGGGCGGCGCTCGGATTCCCTCCTGCCGGGCGTGCGGGCTGCCAGGCCCTATTCTGGGGGCCCCGCGATCCCGCGGGCCTGCCGTGCCCAGCTTCCCCGGGGATCAGGTTTCTGCTGACGCGATGCCAGGCACGTCTGCTTCCAGGAACCGGCAGCCGCATTTAGCCTCGGGCTGCACATGAAAGGGCTGCAGTCGGAAACGTGACGTTGTGTCAACAGGCGAGGGAGGCAGGTCAGCGCTGGGTGAGACCATCCGGCAGGCCCGGAGGGGCACGCCCTGTCTGCACGCTGCCGGGCCGCCTCCGCCCCCCGCCTGCTGCCACCTCTCCCGGGCCCCAAACCAGTGCTTCGCCCCCTCACACTAACCCCCCTGTCCACCCCCACCTCCCCTTCAAACAGAGGTCTTCTTTGTCCCCATGTCCCTTGGAGCCACTTGGAACCTGCTACAGCTTGGCTAGAGGAAGGTCAAGGGCAGACTCAAGCTGCTGCGAGGAGGCAGCGGGACAGCTGCCCCAGGAGAGGGTCTGCGGGGGCAGGGGGTGGCAGGGGCTTCTCCATTGACGATGTGTTGGACCCTCAACACGTCTGCAGCGCAGGTCGCCCCAACCACTTCCTTCTGTCCCGGCAGCCAGTCCCTGAGTCACGGGCCCCGGGGAGCCGGGCACGCAGAACGAGTTCGCTCTGGGTTTCCACCCTGAGCTCCATCCCCAGGATAAACCTGACACGTTCAGGTTTTTACCTAAAAAGGCCTCGTGATTCATGGAGGAATCCAGGCGCTCGTCAGGCGGCCGAGCTGGAAGCCGCCCGGGGCTCCGGGAGAAAGGGGCACCTACAGAGCTGGCCGCGCGCCTGCTGCCTGACACTGGAGAGGGCTCAGGAGCCTTCCTTTCCTTGTCAGAAGCAGGCCTTTCTCCATGGCAGGTGGCAGACCCCGTCTGCCTGATGAGCCCACCCGTTCCCCTCCTGCCCCCTGGTCTGGGGCTCCTTCCAAGACACCGTGCTGCCTGGGGACAATTGTGCCTTCCAGACCCTGACCTCTGGGGACAATTGTGCCTCCCAGACCCTGACCTCCGCATCTCACACAAGCCAGGCAACTATCCACTGTCGTCTGCTGGCTCCTAGGAGACCGGGAAGGTGACATTTGAAGCCAACAGTCAGGATAGGCAGGCGGTGCCTTTGCCTGGCTGTGATGACCGTCTGGGGCAGGTTCCCTGCTCGGGGTCCAGACCACAGAGGGTTCTGGAAGACTGGGATCCGGTGGGGCCTGGAACGTGGCGAGCCAGATACGGGCCACCAGGAAACACCAGGAAACACCAGGACACCTCCAGGAGGGAGGCGGGTGGGGCACAAACATTCGGCCGGTCATTTCCCACGTAATTTTTTTCTTTTTCAGAAGAGCGCTTGGCGAAGGACGGAACGCCAATATGCGTTCACGCAGAAACACGCCCACGGGGAGGAAGTCCAGGAAGGATGTAGAGAATAATTATGGGATGTTGCCTTCAGCAGCTCTAAGACAGGATATGGCAAATCCACTGGACCTTGCCGGACCTGAAAAATTTAGACTGTTTGGGCAGAGTGGCTGCTCTGGCCTCGACGGTCACCGCACAACGGTCACCGCAACTCTTTCCCGTGCGCCCGCCCCGCCGCCCAGCTCCCCGGGCATGGAGCCCGCGCCCTCCTCCTTCGGTTTTTGTCACGCTCTAGGACCATGACACAGGCAGACCCGGGGAAAAATGTCCTTTCTGCTTAGCTGTGGAAGGAGTGTTGGGGTGATGATAAACCTCTAGCAAGGGTTAGTTGAAAAAAAAAAACCACCACCAAACCTTAAGCAAATATTTACCTACTAAACGGACTAAGCTCACTCTGTCTGAGGACAAGGCAGGGAGAGGCTGAGTGACAAGACATCAAGACAGACCAGTTGTTTCCTTCAGACAGGCGGGGAGGGCAGGGGACTGGGCCACCGCTCACAAGCAAGCTATTTGACGAAATGCAAGGGACCATCTTTCTCTTCCACAGGAAAAGGATTGTTTTATTAAGTACTTTAAACAACTACTTAACATTGAGTCATAGATAAAAATATTTACAATTTCACACCTTCAGGAAGGTTCCAAAATATAAACACTGTACCTCTCCCTAGAGAAAAAAATTCTCTTCAAAAACAGGAATACATTCATTTTTCTCACTGCGTAATCAAGTAATTATACAAATAAACATCTGAAACAGCTTCCTTTTTAATATATTTATATAATATATAGTTATAACAGTTTTACAAATAAAGGCAACGACTTTATACCAAAATAAAAACAGGAAAAGCGAGCGTTAAACACGGCCGGCGGTCAGGCATAGTGTGTTTCGAAAGCTGGTGCGGGGCTGGCTGGGGGCAGGGACCAGGGACAGACTCTGGATCGAAAATAAAACTTCTCTGGAGGAGACAAAACCCTTTTCAGCAGGAAGGGTCCTCCACGTGCCGCTGGGCTCGGGGCCTCGCCCCGCAGAGGATCTTGTGAAAGGGCTGGGCAGGTCCTCTGAGCTAAGCTTGGCAAGAAGGAGCTTCAGAGTAGAGCCGAAAACCGGGTCTAGCTTTGCTTCCTGCAAGTAGCAGCGGCTGCTCGGCTTGGTGCGCTCTGGGACCTTCAGCGTCCGCATCTCTCAGGCCCTGGTCCGGCTCCCTGGTTCTGTTCTTAGGTGAGACCTGGAACCAGGTGCCCGGGCCCCAGGGGACCCCTCTCGCCTCCCCCCCCCGCCCCCCGGCAGCTGGGCTGGTCCGGGGCCCTTTTCAGTTCCTCAGTAAGCCAATCGCTGCCAACGCCCGAAAGCCGGAGCGGGGACTACTCTCTGTTGTGGAGCAAGGGGCGGGAGAGCAGACCCCCCCAACGCTGCTGCGCTGGCCAGCGCCAGTCACCCTGCCACCTTCTGAAACCTCAGTCTGCAGCCCTCTCCCTGTGCGGTGAGTCACGGGGACAGCACTAGGGAGGAGGGTGGGGTCAGAAGGGCGGGCTGGGCACTGCACTTTGGAAAGCCCTCTTTTGAAAGTACCTTTTTCTCAAAGCCACAGACCTGGCTCCCAACGTGGAGGCTGACTCACAGAACCAAGGCTTTGAAGTGCATGGAAATCCAGCTGATTCCTATCAGAGCGGGTTCCTCTCCAGGTGGGGAAAAGCCCAGAGGTCTGCTTCAGCCGCCCCCCACCAGGGCTCCTGGCGCAGGCGGCCTTTCCTGAGTCCCCTGGCCCAGAGAGGGGTTCTCACCTCCCAAACCAGCACACGGTGCGCACGCATGCCCCACCCCCAGCGGTCGACTGGGGCCTCAGCTGACCTCGGCGCACACCCGGAACCGTCTGGCTGTGCCCACACACACACTTTTCTTGGGAGGGGGGGAGGTGGGTGCGGGGGAAGAAGGGAGGGTGGGAAGCCAAGCAGCAGGATCCCCTAAAGGGTTTAGTCTTTGGTTTCTAAGTTTAAAGGGGGGATCTGCTTCAGGGCGTGGAGCAGGGCGGAGGAGTCCAGGGCCGGGTGGGGCGGCGTGGGAGAAGGCAGTCTCTGCGGCACCAGCAAGGGGCCCGAGACCTTGTCGGGGCTCACGAAGCCGGAGAGCGCCGCGGCGGAGGCGTTGATGCCCGGGTACAACAGGGGCATGGAGGTGGGGTACCAGCACTTCTCCAGCATGGGCAGGTAGGCCGTGGCTGCCGGCGGGATCAGGTAGAAGGGCAGGCAGAAGGGGGGCTGGTGGGGGTGCGGGCCCAGGAGCGGGGAGCCCACGGGGTCCCCGGCGGGGAAGCGGCCCTCGTCCTCAGACAGCGGCCCCCTGCTTCTTTTGGCGGGGGGCTCTTCCGACTCCTGCTTGACGGCCGCGATCCGGTCTCCCGCGGCAAACCTGCGCCCCCGCTCGCTGCCGAGGCGGGTCTCCAACTCGCCCCCGTAGCCGCTGTCGGTGTCGGTGTCGCTGCCGCTCTGCTCCCCGCTGGAGTGCGCGAAAGTCCGCTGGATGACGGGCACGCAGTTCTTGCCCGGGCCCTCGGAGCCTCGGGCCAGGGAGCTGGGTTTCTCCTTGAAGTCCGTGGCTTTGGGGGCCGGCTCCGACGCCGTCCTGGCCGCGCCCCCCTGCAGCAGCTCCGAGACCACCCGGTGCAGGTGGGCGACGAGCTGCGAAGACTTCACGTCCCGCGCGTTCTCGTGCTTGGCCAGGTACTGCAGCACCTCCCGGGCGCACGTCTGGAAACCCGAGCAGAACATCTCTTGACCGGCTTCGACGCTTCTGCCTGACAGCTCACCTGGATGGACACAGGGGCGGGGGGCGGGGGGGCGGTCAGGGGGCCCGGGTTTGCCGGGGCCACGAGCTTCCCTTTTTGGTAACACACTTGCTCCTCTGTGCTCCCGACGCTGAACGTAACATGGCCAGAGGAAAGGTGGATTGTGTGGAAAAAGGGCAAGAAATAATAAAATAAAAATCTCCCATCGCCCAGAGATAAAATGAGTGCGATGGCCGCATGACACCCCGTCACAGAAGTGGCTGGACCACGATGAACAGAGACAGAGTGTTTCCCCTCTCCCTGAGTTTGTGGGTCGTTCCTGAGTTTTCACTGTGAGTGACAGCAGTGAGCGTCCTAGTGTGTCTACAAACCAGAGCCGGTGGACAGAACGCCAGTCTCGCTGTGGCAAGATGGGCGGAGGCCAGATGGCCATAAAATGGGAGAAGGCAGGAACAATGTCACCTAAGGTAATCTTACTTTCAGGGACAGTCCCGCTGTCGTCTGCAAAAGGAGAACCTATTTCAAAGCATTTTTTGGGCGCTGCATCCACGACCCCCAAGACACGAGGTGGGATCAGCCTTCTGTTCTCGGCAGGGACCCCGGAGGAAGCACCGGCCGGTTTCGGCGGGAGGGCCAAGGGGGCTGGTGTGAGGGAGGGGGGCAGGGGCGCTGCCCGCGCCGCTGCGGCGCTATCTGGAAGCAGTGAGTCCAGAGGGTTTGGAGGTGCGTGTGATTCTCTGGAAGGGAGGAGAAGCGAATGACGAAACTCCAGTGGTTTCGCCAGGTTGCGCAATTCCCCGAGATACCTAGTGGCTATTCAGGGAACCACATGAAATGCGGGAAAAACTCCTCTGTCATCTGGCCAGGATCCTACCACACACCAAGCCACGAGGAAGCAGAGAGACAGGAAAACAGTGGCCCTGCCCGCGCGTCCTTCCCAGTGAGAGGGGTCTGAGAAACCAGCTGTAAAACACCCACGAGGCCAATTATAGGGGCCCTGCCATTTTAAGAGCCGGGGGGCCAAACGCCCAGAACCCAGAAGCTCTTAGGCCAGGATGCCATGGGAATATTTTACCATCTGACTAACAGGTCCTCCCTGCCAGGTGGCACACAGCACCGTTCCACAGGAAGAGCCCGACATTTGGAGGAGGGCAGAGCCTCCCCCTTCCTTGCAGGAGGGCTCCTTGGAGCAGCTGCCGGCCCGTGGGCTCTCTCTGTGCTAGAACTCTCCGGAGACGCCAGCCCGGCGCAGAAACTCACCAGCTTGCAAGCCGCTCTGCAGGGCCATGATTTTCTGCTGCTGTTGATCAATTAGGTTTGTCAGCGCTTTCACGTGCTTCAAGGTGAGCTCAAGAACCACTGCTTTCTCCAAGTGGCCCAAAGTCTGGAAGCAAAAGAACCTCCGTCAGCAGGGAGCTCAGACAGGTCCCGCCTCCGGGACGCTTCCTAGCTGTGAGAACCGTCTCTCAGGGAAAAAAAACCACGATCCTGCGCTAGTCCCTTCCTGGTTGGCTACATTGAGTTTTAAAATCATAGGTTTTAAAAATTATCTATTCCTCCTCGGGGCACATGCACGGAGGGCCACCTACGGCGGGAGGCGTTTTGGAAGCCGCCGCTGCCGCAGGAGAAGGCTTTGGCAGGTCACCTCTCTGGCGGCCGCAGCTGACTGTCCTCAGGGGAATCCGGGCCAACGTTTCCCTGCCTGGTGTCAGTGGAGGAGGGACTGAGGCTTCCCCGGCTGCTTTCCGGACGCCCTTTCGCCACCCCGGCTCGCCCAGGCTTTTGCTTCCTCCTCCCATACTATTTATTTTCCCCTTTCCCCGAGCAAAGGCCGCCAAGCTAGTAAGCTGTTGGCTACTGCTAAGGACGTGAGAATCACATCCTAAAACAAGTCTCTTGTTTAAAAAAAAAAAAAAAAGAGAGAGAGAGTGAGAAAAGGGGGTAAATAAAAGCTGAGTGTTGGTTTACTCAAGTCAGGAGAACCGGAGAACGCCGAGGACCCCCGGCAGGGAAAGCCTAAAACTCAGGCGCGGGGAGGCCAGCTGGTGCCGCGGCCAAGCTGGAGGAGCCCAAGCGGCTCTGGCCTCTTTTGCGTGAGGCTACCAAGGAACAGCGGCGCCGGGGCAGGGTACCCGGACGCAGAGCCACCCCGTCCGCGACCTAGCCCTCTGCTCTGCAGTTCCCCGCGGGGCCTGCAGGCGGCGAGTGACCCCCGCCCGCCCCCTGGGCTGGGGAGCCGGCCTGGAGCTCCGCCAGCTTCTCACTTACTGTAAGTTTGAGATGTTCGGGTAGGAGATCCTTCAGCTGGGCAATGCACTCGTTAATCCGGTCACGTCTCTTTTTCTCGATGAGCCGGTGCGGCAGTTTGTAGGTCTCCTGCAAGGCGCACGCGGAGGCGGTGGGCGCCGGAGCCAGGGGGCGAGCAGCCCTCTCCTCCCCAGCGCGCGGCGCGGAGGGGCCCGGGCGGGGCGGCACAGTCGCGCCCAGAACCGCCCCCTCCTGTCCCCTCTTCTCCACGCCACTCAGGAGGGGCGCCGAGCCCGCACCTTGCATAACCCCTCCAGCCTCCGAGTGGGAAAACTTTTCTTGGAAACTCAGCGCCTGCTAGGGGCTGGGGTCCCCAGGGGCGCGCAGGACGCTTACCTTGCTGTCTTCGCTCCGCTTTATTCCCCGCCTCGACTTGTACACTTGGTACATGTGGGCAAACTCCATCCTGCAGGGAGAGGGGCCAGGGAGGGTCGTGAGTTTGCGTGCGCCCCGGCTGCAGAGCCTGGCAGTTGAGAGCCCCCGGAGGCGCCCAGAGGTGCTCCAAGTCGAGATCAGTGCAGGGCGCAGGGCTGGAGATGAGGCTTGAGGAGCCGCGGGCGCCACTTACCCTGGTAGGTCTCCGGGCTCCCGTCCTGGCGCCTTGGGCAGGCAGGCGGGAGGCGGCTGCGCGCTGGGGATCCGCTCCATGGCTCGGCGAGCCGGGGCCACTGTGCGCTCCTGGCTGCAGAAGAGCGTCGGGCGAGGACTGTCCTGGAGGGGGTCTCGGAGCGCTCTCCGCAGGGCTTCCTCTGGGGCTGAGCTCCGTGAAACCCGCGGCGCGGCCGAGAGCTGCGTCTGTGAGGTGCTGCCGCTTCAGTTCGGGGCGTGCATAGTGTCTCCGCGGCCCCTGGCTCCGGCTCTGCGCGCAGCCTGGCGGTGTGTGCTCCCTGTGCCTTCTGCGCCGCGCGAGCCAAGTGAATGAGAAGTGGGGCGGGCGGGGAGGCGGGCGGGAGCGCGGCGGGGGGGCGGGGAGGGCGGGGGCCGGGGGCCGAGCCGCGGAGTCACGGAGAGGCTGCGGGCTGGGTTAAATGGGAGCGAGTGGGTGGGTTGGAGCTACGTGTTCTACCCTGTGACTCCAGGCACGTCTGGCCGCCGCCGGGGAGGGAAGGAGCGACCTGCCCGCCCTCCCCCGGCTTCATCACATGAGGCTCACGTGTTGGACAACGCTCTCGCGGCTGCGAGGGGCCCCCGCCCCCACCCCCGGCCCCCAGGTGTTTGTGGTGCGGCTGCCTTTCCCCGAAGAGGGGGTGGCAGCGCGGCCGGGGTCCTGCCCAGCCGGGCGGGGGGCGCGGAGGCTGGAAGGGGAGCCTGGGGGGTGGGTGGAAACGTGGGCGAACCTGCCCCAGGGAAATGAAGTAAGTTCCCGTCTCCTGGGAGGGGACGGAGGAGGACGGATCCGCCAGCGTCTGACTCAAGCCGGGAAAGGAATATCCCCTCGCTCGCTCCGGCCCAGCCCTCTTCCTCCTCCCCCGCTCGGCCGCTCGCAGGAACCGGCGCGCAGCGGAGGGAGTCGCCGGGCCCCCTGCCTTCCCCAGAGGCTGGATTTTCTTCCCGTCCCGGCTTCCCTGCCCCCACTCCGCTGCAGGGCGTCCAGGAATTGCCCGCCGTGGGAGGGGCCGAGGGGCGGGGCGGATGTCACCCCATGGGAAGCGGGCTGGCGGCCAAGCGCAGGGGCAGCCGAGGCCGCCGGCGAGCACGCTGCGCGCACCTGACCGCTGAGGGTGTGCGCGGCGGCGGCCCCCGCTCCCCGGAGCTCCGCTGGCGGGCACATCCCATGGGCCGGGCGCTACCCCCCGGGTGCCCCGGTGACCCCCCCCACCCTCACTTCGCTAGTCAAGCACGGAGAGACACCGGACGCAGCGCCCTGTGTCCCCTCCCTCCTCTGCCCCCTCCGGAGCTGGGCGCCCGGGTCGCCTCCCCTCCGGCTGCAGCGTTACACAACCGCGGCGGCGACGCCTGCCCTGCAGCGGCCGGGGCGGGACGCTTCACGTGGCCGGGCTCGGGCCGCAGCGCCGCCGGCCCTGTGCGAGGCCCGGGGACCGAGCCCCGGGACGCGGTGTGCCCGCCGGGTCGGCCACCTCCGCGCCTGCCAGGAACTTGGCGGCGCTGTGTGCGGTCTGCGCGCAGAGTGGGGGTTGGGGGGGCGGAGAGGGACGCGAGGAGGCTGTGCCTGCCACGGTGGATCGGCGCGTTCATTCAGTGCACACGCTTCCTGGAGCCCCCCACTCCGGGCCCGGCGCCGTGCCCGTGGCGGGAGCACCGGGGAAATCCAACGCAGAGTCTGCTCCGAATTCAGAGGAACCTCTGGGAGTCGGACAGATTGGGAAATGGAGGGAAGGCAGCCTGGGAAAATTATATCGGGGCCACTGGCTGGCAGAGGAAAAAAAAAAAAAATACAAGGCTTTTTTTTTTTTTTTTTTTTGCGGTTTTGTGGTTTTGTTTTTTAATTTTATTTCCTACGAACTGAGGTGCCTGGGTAGGGGAGGAGGGGAGAAGCTGTGGGCACAAAGGCCTCCACGCGCCCCGGGCCTCTGCCTGCCCCGCCGAGGCCCCGCCGAGGCCCCCCCGCCCCCGTCCCCAGAGAAGTCCGGTCTCGGTGACCTTCTCGCTCAGCCTGGAACCGGGGACGGCCGAGGGGCCGAGGCCGCGGCGCGAGCCCGCAGCTGCAGCCGGAGGGGGGAGCCCGTGGAAATTCATGACTAAAGCGGGGCGGGCCGGGACCTCACTGCCCTCCGCGCCGCGCCGCGCCACCGCCGCCGGGGAAGCGGAGCGGTGACTGTCAGCCTTCCCCACCGCCCGGGTCTGCCCCCGCCGCGCGGCGACCCGACTGCGGGACGGGCCAAAAGCGGGACCGCGGCTTGGCTGGGCGCAGACGGTCCTCGGCGGCGGGGGTTGTGTCGGGGAGGAGGGCGGGCGTGTCATCTTAAATGGCAGTGACCTTGACCACCTGGAGACCCGCGCTGGGCGCGCTGGGAGTGATTTCCTCCGGGGCGCGCTGGAGAGCTCGCGCTTCCTGTTTATGTTGCAGTGCGTCGGGCTCATTAGCAAGTGTGAGAAGCGCCTGCTTTTCTCGCCGCGGACTGGCAGGACCTCTCCGCGCGGCTCGGCGGCGCCCCCGCTGCCAGGGCGCGCTGCGGCGGCTGGCTCCGGCCGGCGCCGCCGCCGCGCAAGGGGACCCCTACGCGGCCACTTCCTGCCGGGGGCGGGCGGCCGGGCCCGGCACGGCCGGGCCGAGCGGGCGGCGGCGGCCTGCCCTGCTGCGCTCGTGCTGGCAGCCCGGGGCGACCTGCCTCCTTGCGGAGCGGAGAGCTGGCCTGACTGCGTCAGAGGAGCCGCTCCCCCAGGAAGGAGCACGTGTCCGCTCAGTTGCCCCCACCCCCACTCCGGGAGCGTCTCGGCTTCCGCGGTTCGGGGCTCTTGCCAACGCAGACCCTCCTCAAGTTACCAGTACTTCTCGCCCTCACCTGGCCTACCATTGGAAATAACAAAATATACTCACTTCCTATTTTTTATTTGCTCCAAGTGTCCCCTCAAGCTTCAAGAACTATGCCTGCTTGACCAAAGTTCTGTTGTATCCAGATTGTATCATTTTTAGGTTTTGCTTCTCTCCATAGTTTATGATCACTATTAATTTAAACAAAATAATTCCCTCCCAGCATGCACCTTTCCACCGTGAAGCTCTTAATATTTCAGTTTGCCATCTTCTGTAGATACCTGCTTGGTGCTTACTGTGCGCCCGCATTTGGACTGTATGTAAGAACTGCACCCGTCAATCCGTGTCCTCCCGGCCACCCTCTCAGACTCTTTACATTCATTGCACACGCGCTGATTGAGCGCCTGTTCGTGCCAGGCACCGAGTGGGGTTCCAGGGAGGCTGAAGCTCGGGGAGGCCCAACGAGCTGCCCCGGCTCACGCACCCGGGCCTTAGACTTGGACGTCCACCCACGTTGGCTGGGCAGCGAAGCTGGTTCCGGATCACCCGGCTCCCGGCGCCCGGTCGCGCCGCGCAGGCTCAGCTCCAGGGGGAGCCGCGCGCCGCCGACCCAGGGAGCCCCTTCTGGAGTTGCGCGACGCAGCTCCGAGCAGGACGGCGTAGTTCAGCGCTGGCCAGTGCTGACACTTTACAGTCCCCCCTCCGTTCTGTGGCCTCTAAGTGCGCAGAGGACACACTGTGCGCAAGCGGAGGGCAGGCTCCTCTCTCCTCCCCTCTCCGGCCTCAGCGTCCCGCGGGCCTGCACGGCGTGCTGGAGAGGGTCTGTGCGGCTGCCCATCCAGCGCCCGGCGCAGACCCACTGCCCTCCGGCTCAGGGGTCAGTTTTTGCCTGTGTATGCAACCCTCAGATTTCTTTAACCCCTTAATTTCCTAGCGGTCGCAGAGAGTGTAGCTCATTACAACTCCATCTAACATGGCTATGGCAGTTCTTGTTACTGTTTCATGCCTCTTTTTTGAGTTCGCTCACATGGCTTATACCGGTGAAATTAGCAAGTGCTAATGAAGATTTACTGATTAGGTTTATTGATTATAAAACAGGGTTCTTTGGAGTTTAAAACATTGCAAAATATTTTGGGTTTTAACCTATTGCTAGTAGTGCTCTGGTGAACTTAAAATTTTTTTTAAAAAATAAATAATACTGTGTATCCTAATGCATTTATTCCAGCTGTTAGGATTCATGGGGATGCTTTCTCTGTATGGTTCCAAAACTTTTTATTTTCATACAACTCTAGAGAATTTGGTTTTGAAGTCAAGATTCGTTCATTTAAAATCTTACCTATGGAAGAGTTGAATTGGGAAAATCATTTCCCTTTAAAATATGTCTCCATAGCCAAAGAAATTATATGCACGACCCATGAACATGACCTGGCAGGGCGGGGTGGGGGGCGGATTGCTGGAGGTACCAGGCCGAGGGAGTAAAGGGGAAAAACGGGAAAAACTGTAATAACATAATCAATAAAATATACTAAAAAAAGCAAAAAAAAAAAGTCTCCAGAAAAGACACAGGAACAAACGTAACTTCAGCCGTGTGACGGCGCCGTTTTATCCGCTTCCAGTGTCTTCCTGTGTCGCGACGTGCTGGGCCAGAGCGTCGGAGAGTCACAGCCTCTGCGGTCCGCAGGGCCACTGTGAGGGAGGTCCAGGGAAGAAATTGCCATTTTCGGTGGAAAGCAAGTGACAGTTACTAGCTACGATGACTTTGTACTTTGGATCTGGACTTGCTGCACCTTCCTTTATAGTAAGACACCAGCTGCTTAAAAAATAAGGATCCATGAAACAGAAAGAGGAGCATTTTAAGAGGTACAGCCTCTTTGAAAAATGGATCAAACTGTTGAACTCAACATACTAGATGTGTTTGTAAATAAACTTAAGGCATGAACCCTTAAGGCCTCTTCTCTGAAACACAAAATATGATAAAAAACAAAAAACAGAAAAAAATAACTTCATATTGTTAAATACATTATAAAGCCCTCTGAAATCCACACACACTTTTCCATTTGTTGGCTACATATCCAACCCCAGTAAAAGGAGAGGGCGCCTCAGGTTTGTGTTACCCCAGCGCGCAGGAAGAAATATCCATTCCTTCACGGCCACGGCACGTGCACGCGCACGCGAGGGCCGGGCCACAGCCATGAGCTGCCGCTCCCCGGTCTTTCCTACTCTCCAGGAGCCACTGGCCACTTCAAAAAAGAGTTGAGCCACTTAGGACCCAGCAAATCCAATGCATTGCAGAAAAAAAATTCCACCAGACAATCCTTCTTGATAGATGCATTCTGACATTTTAATACAATGAAATCAATTTTATTAAATCAATTTTATTTAAAAAAAAGCAACCACCCCAAAACCATCCTGGTCTTGACTTCCTGAGTTTACCCCCAATGATAAATCCTGACCTGCAATTTGGAAACATGCAGGACACT